TCCGGAATCTAAAACCACCCTCTCAATCTAACCAACAAATCACCCGTTTTTGCTCTAAAATCAGTATGGATTGCAATAAATCAGACAAAAACTGATGTTTTTCCTTCTTACCTTCAGAATAATACTTGAATTGATTTGCTTCACTAAAATATATTTAAGAGTTTCACACTTCTGTTGCACACTCTACTACACATCAATCAGAGCTATAGTCCCTTTGACGGTAACATGCAATTTATATTCAATACACAGAATTGAACATACATTATCCATAGTATGTTTACTAGATAAGAAATAAACATGTTTATGTAATTGTATATTATACATTATGTTAGATTTCTTTAAAGGAAAAATGTTTTTTTTATAGAAAATAACATCTCTAGATTCACAAATTGAATATTCATATAGGAAAATAAATTTATATAACGAATTTTTTAAAGCATGACCAATAAAAATTGCATCAAAAGCTTAAACCCACGATGCTCTTTTTAAAAGCAAACAAACCTACTTTTATTGAGCACGTTTACGAGTTAAATTTTGACTACTTAGAGTAAACTCTTTCACAATTCATACGTGGTGTAATCTAATTTTTATGAGTCGTCCTATTAAGAATATAGTTTGCAAAAAGTACAACCCTAAAAAAATATTAGGCAAACTAGAACTTAAAAGTAAAGTGCTCATCGTCTCTTTCAAAGTTCTATTCTTTACTTTAGTTGTTCTATTTTGTTATGAAAAATAAGGGGTAAAAAAATCATATATTATGTCTCGGAATGATCATTAAGTATGGATCAAAACTTGACCAAAATGAAAATTTTACATTTAGCGTTATCATCAATCATTTAGTTTAGGTAAAGTCGGATACCTAAAATCTTCTTTTTTAAAGATATTTTAGAAAATCCTTTTAAAGAAAAAATGTTTTATGTCTTATCAAAGATTCACTTAGAAAAGTCGGAAAGCCGATTACGCACGAGATATGATAAGCATCCCCACATTGATTGGAATCGGTACCAAATTGGTTATAAGTTGTCTTAATAATAAAAATTATAAATTCATGTCAAAATTTAAAATATAATTCATTTAATTATTTTTGAAGATTTAATACGCATAGAAAAATAAGTTAGATGTTTTAATAATAAAAATATAAGCTAAAGTTATGATTAATCTGTAAAAACAAGTAAAAATGTCATGTATACTAGATTAATCAAAACAATAATAAAATATAGGGTAAAATACATATTTAGTTCCTAAACTATCACTTTTGTTCCATTTTAGTACCTAAACTTTCAATTTTTTTCAAAATTATACATAAAATTTACTTTTTGTTTCATTTTAGTACCCCGTCGTTAAAAATTCAGGTACTAAAATAAAATAAAAAGTTAACAATGGGGTACTAAAATGAAATAAAAAGTAAATGTTATGTATGAATTTGAGAAAATTAAAAGTTTAGGTACTAAAATGGAACAAAAGTGATATTTTAGGTACTAAAAATGTAGTTTACCCTAAAATATATACAAGAATAAGAGTTTAAATATAATTATTAATGTTGCGAATTAAGGGCAAAGATGATGGTTGCTGAATGGGCGGCGATTGATGGGTGACCGTGACGACAAAGGCAGTGGCTGAAAATGGTTAAAGATGACTGGCTACAGCTGAAATGGGATCTGAAAGTAAGGATTTTAGGCTTGAGTTTTTTGTTATTTTAAAGAAATTTATGTCCTTTTTAGAATAATAATATTTTTAAGTTTTTTTAATATAAAACTTTCATATATATAAACACGATACATATTAGATAACCATATTTTTAATGGTCGTTACAATGTAGACACTTAAAAGAGTAACACTGTAAATATTAAACAAGTATTTTTAGCAAAAAAAAAGTTCTTTACACACCTAAAGTTAAATTAAAATATAATTTGATTATTTATTTTTTGATTAACCTATAAGAAACAGTCAAATCTATATAAAAAAAATTGATGTAAAATTTACGCAAACAATTGTCCATAAAGAAATATGCATGACCAAACAAGATCGGAGCAATAACATGTATTGACTTTATCTTCTATTACTCAATAAGGATAAACTCAAAAAAAAAATTTAACACTTTAGACCAAAAACTAGTTAATATGAGATTTTATTAATTTATATTACGCACCATATGAACTCCAGATTTTCAATCGATCAATAAGAACTATTAGTGTCAACAGGGGGTTTAGATATATTTTTATGCGTGAAAATACGTATATTAACTACATAAAATTTTTGAATGAGGTAGACATAAATAAAATTTTAGAGTGGACACTTTCAATAAAATAAATAATTGATCGAAGAAAATTCAGATTTCAGGATGAACATATACCTTCACTATTTAAATTATATTTTTTGATTGAATCTAATTATGAATGAGGTTTTTAATAAAACAAATATTTATTTAAAAAAGGGTAAAACTTAAATTTTATCTATTGTATAGTCTTACCTTACTTGTGCATGGGGGTATTGAACGTGAACGGAGATATGTAGGAGCTTGAGAGCCACTTCCTCTCCTAAATTTTCTTTTATCATTGAAGAATACAGGAATAATTACCTATTTAGACCTTTAAATTTTAATTTATTTTGATTTTACTCTCTCATTTTCTTTTGTTAATTATATTTTATCTCCCTTTGACTAAAATTATGGCTTCCTATGGGTATTGGGAAGTAACGATTTAGAGCTAGGAAGAAGCATCAAAGCATGCTTTTATCTGCGCAGCACATCTGCTATGAGCTTATATAAATGCACATAGTACCTATCCAGGGAAGTAAAACAAATTTGGTTTTATATCCCGTAGGGTACTCATCCCCAAGTGCTAAGGGGTCCCTATCCCTACATAGGGACAACACTTCTCTCTTATGTCACTTGACCAAAAACAAAAGGGCTCTGAAGCAAGTTAATTTGGCAATGCTTTAATGTATCATGAACAAAATGTAAGTTATTGTTTTCTCATTTTTTACTACTTACTATTCTGTTGTAATAATGGGCTCTGTTGTGTGAGCAGGTTGGAAAAGTGTTGCATTCATTAGTCAGTCGGAAAAAACACCTGATCAGATGATATTCGTGATAATGAAGCCGAGAGATGATGGGAGAAGGGCTGGGGGCCCCGGGGGGGGGGGGCACTTCGTTTTATTATTTTCTTCACCTTTACAATTTTATACCATATGTAATTGTGTACAAACTTCAATTTTCTAGATTTTAAATTATATTCTTTCAATATTTTTATATTTATAAAGTATTAAATATAGTTAATTTCGTATATTAATGTATAGAAAAATACATTAGTGAATTGTTTATCTGGTGATAAAGAAATTGTTGTTATTCATTGGATAGATTATTAATTTTATAAAAAAAACTTAAATTTTTATTAAAATCTTAAAAAAAATATCAAAATTTCACTAAAATCTTTAAAAAAACTTCAAAAATTTTAATCTCAAAGCATAAACCTCACTTGTTAACTTTCTCCCATCGACTGCCTACCCACCCATTTTTAGTGGATCATCCCCTTATCACAGCCTCAATCCTAAACTTAGATTCTTTAACCTAAACTCAATCTCAAAATCCCATAACCAAGATTCCTAAATCCAAACCTAAATCCCAAAATACCAAAATCTAAATTTCTAAATCCGTAAATTCCAAGGCACACATCTTTAAACCCCAATCGACAAATGAGTGAGTGATCGCCGACGATGATAATCATAGACTGAATTGAAGGACTGTTGTTATAATCTTATGAATTTTAGAATATATTTTGAAGAATAAAAAATATTTTTTTATTTATAAATTTTATTTTTTTGAAAAATATTAAAGAAAATTAAAAATTAAGCTACTTGTTAAGCAATGATTGGTTGATTTATTTTTAATGAATGATGATGTCGAAAATGCTAGACAACTATATTAATTAAAAAAATTAAATACCTAAATAAAAAAATGACATAATTTAAATAATTACTTTATATTAAGCCTATATTTTAAGTCAAAAGTTTATCACGTAGTATAGTCTAGTGCAATGCTAAATATTATAATGTTAATCGAAGATTGCATATCACGTATCTAACAACCGAAATGTCTTGGTTGTTTCTTTTCGGGTAACCTAATGCTTACCAGTAAATTATGGTCTAGTTAGTTATAATACTAGCATTAAAAATTTATCTGCATGGAGAACTGTCCCTACTGTTAGGAAAATGTCTCAATTTGAAAAAACACAACTTCTACTTCTTTACGTTTTCTATCTATCCTTTGGTTGGATTGGCTTCGCTTTGTTTATATTTTAAAATTTTGAGTTTGAATCAATTTAGGTTTAAGTCATTTAAATTTGTTAATTGGATTTAAGTCGAGCCAATTTGGTTTCAAGTTACTTTTGGGTAATTTTAGATAACTTATAGGAGTTATTTTCATTTTTAAGTTTATTTGGGTAGATTTGGATTATTGATTTCTTATGGTCAGATCGAAATCTAAAATTTTTGAATTAAATTTTCAAATTCAAATCACTTTCGTATAAAAGTTAAAAATATATAACATATTGCACTCATTGAGTGATTTCAGTGGTAAAAGAATATAATTTTTTCTCTAAAGGACTCGAGTTTAAACAATTGTATATATGTAATCAATATGCTAATAAAATTTTGTATAAATGTTACTTTATAATCGACTTATATTATTCAGAAAAAAGAAGAATACATATAAATTTTTTTGCAAGTAATTTTTATTATTTTTAAATTAACCCAGAACATCAATTCAATTATATATTGAATTTTTCGATAAATATGGGATGAGTACTCTTACTTACGCGGAGCTTATATATAAAAAATCTCAAGAGATAACAATAAATACGTTAATTATTAAGTTTATTTATTGGTACAAATCCATATATAAACTTAAATATACCTGAAAATATTTTTTATTTTTACTTTAAGACAAGTCCTCCCTATTAAAAGGCAGCAAGCATCACAAAGTTTAACCGTAGAAAGGTAGACCTTTGGTTTCTTAAAAGAGGTGAGCCAAGCGATCACAAGATTAGTGTTGGAGAAATAAAGAAAGCTAAGGAAGAGAGAGATGGGGAGGGCTCCTTGCTGTGACAAAGCAAATGTGAAGAAAGGACCATGGTCTCCTGAAGAAGACTCCATCCTCATGGACTACATCCACAAATATGGAACCGGTGGCAATTGGATTTCTCTTCCTCACAAAGCCGGTACGTATTGCATTTTCATCACAAATTTTTCTCTTTGCTTCCCTAGTTTCTTAAGCTAATTAATATGTTATTGTCTTTTCGTGTTTAGGCCTGAAAAGATGCGGGAAGAGCTGCAGATTAAGATGGCTAAACTATCTCAGGCCCGACATTAAACATGGTGATTTCACTGACGAGGAAGATAGGGTTATTTGCAGCATGTTTGCTACCATTGGAAGCAGGTTGGTTAACCTTTCATTTTATAACACTATCATTCATTTCCCCTTCATTACCAAACCTATAAGCATGGACTTCTTGTGGAATGTTTTTCTTTTTCTGATATCCAACTTGCAGATGGTCAATAATGGCTGCTCAGTTACCAGGCAGGACTGACAATGACATCAAGAACTATTGGAACACCAAGCTCAAGAAGAAGCTCATGGGGTTGAGTTCTCAATCCCAGAGAAAACTCCCAACATTCCCATCTTATCATCAAACTCTGCCTACTTCTTTAGCTGGCTTTGAACCATTCTCATCGGTTCAATCTGACATTTTGAACAACAATACTGCTTTTTTGGGTACCAATCCTTGTTTTAATAACACCAGTACTACCACAGAGAGTTTGGTGAGTTATTATTATCCGGTAAAAGGAAAGTTAATCATGTTTGGGAGAGAACCGAGTTGCAGTTCTTCAGATGGTAGCTGTAGCCAGATCAGTTATGGCAGAGAGATGAAGCGAGAAGACATGGGTAATTTTCAGGGTTTTCGTGACCAGAAGTTCATGTTAAGCTGTGGAGTAACGCCACTAGAGTATGATCTTGAAGATGTTAAGCTACTGATAAACTCTAGTGGTGATAATAATTGGTGTAACAACAACAACCACATCTTCATTGATGAAAACAAGACGCAAGAGGAAGTCATGGACTATTACTACTGACTGCAAGTGTAGAATCACAGAGATTTGATGGGGTAAGGGAGTGGGTATTTGATGGATGGATGGATGGATTGATATAAAAAAGACTTCCAGTTTGTGGGGCTTTGTGTTCTCTGATGAAATCAAACTTTTCTTCTTTTGACAGTACATAGTAAAGGCTTTTTATTTTCTGCATTTTCGCGTTCATGATGATGTTATTACTGTGTACCGAGCCTGTAAATCAATGAAATCATTTCGTTTTTTTTTTTCTAATTAGAGAAGTAATCATCATTGAAGAAGAAGAATCATGAAAGAAGATAAACTATACATGCTATATTTAATTATTGTATTAGTGGGATACCGAATCCAATTGAAAAGGTTAGAAAACTAAGTTGTTGCGTCCATCCAATGAATATCCGGATCTCTGCTGGTACTGTTTGTCAATAATATTTAAAAGAGTCCTGACTTTGTTGTATTCTTAATGGAACTAAGTCGGACTTAAAGGTGGACTTGTTTAGCATCTCTCACACACGTATATATACTTTTAGGTGGTGTTTATTTTTGTAGAGATAAAATGTTTATTGTAGTCTGCGGATCATATCTGCATGCATCTACAACAGAAAAGGTTGATCAAAAGTCTGCAGTCTGCAAGAAGAAGACTGTTTATTTTTAACGTCTGCAGACTGTTAAAATAAACTGAAATATAAATAAACTGATTTTTTAAACTTAAAAGATTTTTACAATACTGAGATTTAAATAATTTTAGTTTTACAATACTGAAATTTAAATAATCCATACAACTATAATAATAAATTATTTAAAATAAATTAATCCATATTTTTTGCTTAAATCAATCCATACTACTAAATTATTTAAAATAAATCAATCCATACAACTACAATAATAAATCAATCCATATTTTAAAATAAATCAATCTATACTGATAAATTATTTAAAATAAATTGATACATATTTTAAAATAAATCAATCTATACTAATAAATTATTTAAAATAAATCAATCCATACAACTACAATAATAAATCAATCCATATTTTAAAATAAATCAATACATACTAATAAATTATGTAAAATAAATCAATCCATATTTTAAAATAAATCAATCCATACTAATAAATTATTTAAAATAAATCAATCCATATTTTAAAATAAATCAATCCATACTAATAAATTATTTAAAATAAATCAATCCATATTTTAAAATAAATCAATCTATACTAATAAATTATTTAAAATAAATTATTTAAAAATAAATCAATCCATATTTTATAATAATTTATTTAAAATAAATTATTTTATAATAAATTATTTTAAAATAAATTATTTTAAAATAAATAACCTTATTAAATTATTTTAATAAATAACCATTCTTTATAATTGTTCTTGAAGAGGTTTGAAGACATTTGAAGACATAAATTCATGTTTGCACTAAAAAGAGCTCGCGCAGACGTTAGAAGAGGTTCAGTCTTCTAAAAAAACGGTCTGCGAAGCCTAAAGTCTGCACGTGGTCTGCGCGGCGCAGACATAAGAGGTTTGAATAGGTGGAACAGTCAAAACAAACACAAGCTTAGTTTTACATCTTTTAGGATCGTTAGATTGAAGGAAATTAAAGGTCGAAATTAACTCATTTTTTGCCGTGAATATCTTCTAATTTTCTACTGTTAATCTCATTCTTTAATTCCTCTCGTCTAATGATCATAAAAAGGTGTAAAACTAGAAGAAGATATTACAACATATAAAATTCTTTTAGTTTTACACCTTTTTAAGATTATTAGACGAGAAGAATTAAAGAATGAGATTAACAGTAGAAAATTAGAAGATATTCACGGCAAAAAATGAGTTAATTTCAACCTTTAATTTTCTTCAATCTAACTATCCTAAAAGATGTAAAACTAAAAGTATATATATATATATATATATATATATTATTTTCGTATTTATTTTGTAAGATTGATATTCGTGGATTAAGATTTTGGGAGAATTCTTTCATAGTAAAAGTTCGAGATAACATCTCTCGAGATAGAATCTCAAACGTCTAACACTCCTCGAGAAATTACAATCTCTTAACACGATTTCTGATAGATCAATGTGATTTATCTTAATCAAAAATTAATTGTCATTTGATTGTATCTATTGGGTCTATCAACCTACAAGTAGTTATCATGACCTTACGTCTGACACTACCAGTATAGGTCACAATAAAACTTCTCAACCAAGATCGATAAAAAGATCTGAAATCGTTCACCAGTCATCCCTCCTTGCCCTCCTTATGGAGACAAAAGATCTAAACATCAATTAATCATTTATCTATTTATTGTATCATCTCTGAATTTTCTTCATAAAATCAGTATCAACATATCAAAATCTTTGGAGAATTTCTTTGGAGTGCAAGTTTCGTGAGAATATTTTCGAAGGTAGAATCTCAAACGTCTTGTACCATTTGAAAAGTAATGACCTATTGACATACCTACGTGACCCGCCAAAGTCAAAATCAATTATCAGCTGGTCATATATATTGGACTTGCCAACCTACGAGTAACTATCATGACCATACATCTGACAGTGACACCAATATTAAAAATCACTATAAAACCTCTCAATCAAGTCCGAGAGAAGGATCGAGAACCACTCATATTTCTTTTATCTCCTTATGGATACATGATTTGAATATTAATCAATCATCGTATAATCGCCAACTATGACTCTCCATTCAAATCAAAAGAATTTAATTATCTACGGCTATAACAACATCGTTGTTCCATCCATATATATGTGTGTAAATTTATATATAGTCAATAATTATATATTAATACTATGATAATTTTTTTGAAAAAATGAATATAAACAAATAAACATTTTAAAATTCAATAAAATTTGTTAGTACATAAAATCATATTATTCATTGATACTTCAATTATTTACATATGTAAAGCTGCTTTAAAGAAGTGAAAAGCACGTCAACTCTATGCATACTGTACCGTGAAAACAATAAATAAATTCAAATGTTTGTTTGAAAGTTGGTATTTGATCGATTAATCACTATTTGCAAACTAAATTGATGACTTTCTGGTTGGTAGTGTTCGGGATTCATTACAGCACACATATCTGACTATTGTTCTTCATCATTATTCCTTTTTGTCGTTTAAAATATTGGTTAAATGTATTTGAACAAGAAATACCTTCAAACCCCAATCAATTATTGGAAAATTACGCATTTAATTATTTGCATGGATGATTTCACTGCCTACGAGTCTCGTGCATCTCTTTTCTAATTATAGTTTTTCAATTCCCAATAATTTGCTGCCAGTTGATACTTCAATTGTCTGATTCAGCAACAAAAACTTAATCTAATTCAAATCCATAAAAAATATTATAAAGTTTCATGTTAACATACACTGAGATCTTAGCCGGTATATATATATGAGTAGGGATGGGTAGAAGGAATTGATGGGGTAGTCCTCTAATAATATCGGGAGATTATAATATAGTTATATTTGAAAGGCTCTCAATCTTTTAACAACGAACATTTATACACCTCTCTAAACGTCGTGCTCGAACTTGAGAGCTCAATGAATAACAATATCCCTTTAACTATTGAGGTCTTTTGGTTCATGCCTAATGAAAATTTTAAATTATCATATAATTTAAATTTTTTTCTTTTATATTTTCTATTGATAATTTGTTTCCGTCCCTAACGTTTTATAAGTTCACCCCTTAAAATAAAACCTTGTGTCCGTTCTTAGTCTAAGTATGAAGATTAACATGAAGTGGGGATGGACAATGCTGTATGCATGAAATCAAAGAAGGATTAAAGTTGACATACTTTCAAAATGTAATTACGGATAGATGAATGATTTTATATTTAAAATTAGATTACAAATTTAATGATGTAAAACTATATTATCAATAAAAAATACATAAATTATATGATAATTTAAAGTTTTTCAAAGTGCGACAACACTTTTGGATTTATACTTGAATACAGGGCCGACTCTTAAGGGGAACACCCTATGAAACAACTCAGTGCTCCCAATTTTTTTGTATTTATAATTAGGTCTCCCAATTTTTTATATTTATAATTAGAGCTCTAAACTTATATAATTTTATAAAATTTATAGTTTTTGACATTCTTTTTCCATTCTCTTGTTAATTCATACAATTTTGAATTAAATTAATTATGTTTTTCTCTTTTTTACAAATCTTACTCTTTAATTTATTAAATAATCTTTAATTTTTAATATTTTTCAGTCTCAATCTAACAATAAAATAATATACAATTATTTTTATTTATTTATTATTCAAAATCAAGCTATGTATCATACACTCATTCAATTTTTTTATATTTATTATCTCTTAGTTGTATTTATGGTGTTTTCTTAATAAAATAATAAAAATAATGTGTTTTCACAAAATCTAATCATTTTCTATGATTTATTTATGTGATATTGAATTAATTGTTCGAAGTAATGAAATACACTTTCATTTTATAAAGACGTTTTTTTTTTAAATTTAAGTTCAAGCTAGATCAGGTCGAGTTCGGGTTTAGGTTGTAAAAAATCTGACTCGACCTATAATCATCCCTAATAGAACAACTTTCTTAGAACAATAAATTATCTGGGAAAAAAATTCTTGATTTTCATGCAACAGTTAAAGATTGTTTTTGTCTGTTTGAGAGAAGTTAAATTACTTTCTATCTTATGATTTATGGATCTAATGTGAATTTAATCTTATATTAAACAACTCTTCCATTTTAAGAAACGATAATGAATATTAAAGAAAAAAGCAAATGGGTTTGTTAATTGTAGTTAGAGATGCAAACTGAATCTTTCTTCCTAACTTAATTGTTGGTGATTTATGTTATTAAATGTGATTAGTTAAGTATCACCGATATATTAAAGATGTCCAAACACATTCAATAACTCGTAATGAATGGAGGCAGGTTAGGAAGGTTCCCAACATTACACCATTTATGTTTGGAAAGGGAACTAGTTTCCTTTTGGCTTAAGGGTCACTTTTGCCCTTGTAGTAAGCTCAATTTATCAATTTAGTCCTTATTGTCTTTTTGCATGAATTTAGCCTTCGAAAGTTGTTTAGGGTGTTCATCCTAACCCTCGAATTCTGTTCTGAGTAATAGAACCGTTAAT